AGGGTTGTGAGACGTTGAGGGTTCCACATTACCTAGACAATCGGCTCAAAGATGGCAGTATAATATAATAATAAACCTTCAGTTTTGATCCGTGAAACAATTTGACCATCTTTAATTTGATTATTCTTATAACTTTTCTCGATGAATATGAATTATGAATCTCCTCACTATTAAATATCATCCAGCCGCATTACTTTATCCTCCTTGGATTCAAATATTCTCCTGAACACACTATTTTCAAAAATCCTTTGTCTGTTTTCCCTTACTGTGAGAGACAATGTTTCATAACCATAAGCAACCACAGACAGAATCACGGTTTTGTATATTATGATCAGGCGAAACTATAGTTTGTGTATATTTTAGTACTTACTTTTGCAGATGACAGACGAGAGGACAAAATAGATTCTAAAGGGTGCTTACGGTGGTACATAATACTCAGAATTACTGGGTTTTTGGACTTTGTCCATCGTCCGATATTCTAGAAACCAGAAAACACGATGTTTCGGAAACTGGATCTGTTTCCGTCCTCAGGCGAAAGGGGGGGAGGGGGGAAGACACCTACTATACCTTAGAAAGAGCTAATCTCTTTTTAAAGGGCCCAACAGATTAAGTGTATTTCCCCATCTGAAGACGAAAACAGATCCAGTTTCCGAAAATTTGTTTTCTAGTTCCTAGAATACCGGATGATGGACGAAGTCCAAAAACCCAGTAATTCTGAGAAGTCGAAATATTCCGAACCCAATAGCAGGAAGCATTCCCGGAATTGAATGCTCTTTGTTTCTCCGTGAATGCAGTATTGATTTTTTAATAACGTTCACATTTTCAGAGGTCATATTTGCTCTCTTATGTTCTGATTTTATCCCTCATTCTGGTCATGATACCTCAATATATGCTTGGTTTCTTCTGCGTTTAATAATATATTAATAATAGGTTAATATTAAGTACTAATTTTATAAAAATTGTAGTGTGTTATTTGAAGAGATATATACAGTTGAGTGCTTAGGTTATCAGATTGATGAAGTGATATCAGCTCTTCAGGGACTGTCTTAATGCTGAGTTCTCGTTGGTTTTTCCTTTCGACTTTCAATAGGCGAACGTCCCGCGAGAAAACTTGCATTATCGTGAAAGTACCAGCGACAGATGTCTGTTAGACTGTTACCATTCGACATTAAGCCCGGCTGAGTTACGGCAATTCCCTGGGCGTGTTTTTGACATTTCAGTCTAAGTTCCGAGGAAGGCTCTTGAATGAAATGAGCTTAGTCATGATGTGTAGAACAGTATGCATATGCATGATTGTATTTCGTTTACATTGCACTGGACTGATTAATCAGCGTCCTCATGTCAAACTATGTATTCAGCTGATTAAAAATATTTCCTTTCTTTTCGTTCATCGGTTATACAACAACGCTTGCAGTATCAGTACTATACAGAGTCAGATGGTTTAATTACTGTTGAATAATGAATTGGGAGCGATCTGATAGGAAGCGGTCACGGTCAAATTGAGGTACTGCCCCGGCATTTTGCTGGGGGCTTTTAGGAAACGCACGAAAATTTCAGCCACAATAGCCGGTTTGTCCTCCGGGATTCCGGTCAGTCACCTCCTGAATACATATCTGGAGCATCACTTGTATGCAGACTGTTCGGTGCAAGGTTTTCCTTCAGAAGTAACTTAAAATTCGCTTAGTGGGGGGTGTGGCCGCACCATAGCTCAAGCGGTTACTCGCTGGCTTCCCACCGCGGCGGCCCTGGTTCGATCCCGGGTCTGGTCAAGTGGGATTTGTGGTGGACAAAGTGGCGCTGGGGTTGGTTTTCTCCTAGTACTTCGGTTTCCCCTGCCAATCTTCATTCCACCAACTGCTCGACAATCACCCTCACTTATCATCTGGGGCTGGTACAATAGGCCAGAAGTGGCTGCAGTACAAGGGACTTAGTCCCACCCCAATAGCAATAAAAAATAGTGGGGGGTGGAGTCCAACTGGGTCCACTCGGCACGGCGGTCACTGACTGGCCTATTGTAACCTGCCCCGGATGATTATGATGATGGAGAATTTGGTGAAATGAAGATTGGCAGTGGAAACCGAAGTACTCGGAGAAAACCTGCCCCAATGCCACTTTGTCCACCACAAACCCCACTTGACCAGACCCGGGATCGAACCCGGGCGGCCGCGATAGGAACCTAGCGACTAGCCGATTGAGCTGTGGCGCGGCCATTTCCCTCAGAAGTAACTCAGATGACAAAAGAAAACTCAACGATTTTATGAAATCCGAAGGTTTATTCGAATGTTCGTAAAATACTCGCCAGTGGAGGTTTCCATTTCACAACCTCACCGCCTGTTAGATCTATTCTAATATTGACATCTGGCTGCTGCACATGTTCATTTGCTCTTCTAGCCTAAGCCCTTCGGCCAGATGTGTTTCAACCGCAAATGCAGTATGTAAACTTACGCATATTTTTAGGAACTGATATATTTTTTTTTTGTTTCTTTCATTTTTACTTGTTTATTTTGCCGTTTTGCTGTTTGCATTCGTTCTGACTCTGTAACTGGCCATTAGCTGTTGAATTCAGCACGTAAATATAATAAAACTGAAATTTTATATTCTGGTGTTTAGGCAGAATACGGTCAATGAAAGATACTGAACTTAATTGTTTACAGCATACCCCACAGTTAACTTCGTGACTGGAAGTACTTTCATTTTCCCATATTTCTATGGTTGTATGAAGTGTCTTCACATTATATATTACGTTTCATATATTATAGAAGGGTTTTCCATTGTGCCAAATTTATTAAGTACTGGGCCATGAAGACACGTAGGGAAATGGAGGTTTTGCTCCACCATTCCTGAGCTTGGCTCTAAGGAAAGAGCCTCTGCTACACTTTGTATAGGAGGGTCGGTGAGCCCCACATCCGGTCTGGACGTTATGTAGTAAACAAAAATCTCTTGCCCCTGCCGGGAATTAAATCCCGGTCCTACAGTCCGCCTCTATACACTGAGCTTTCCCTGCTAGTTTTTATATAATATATGGAAGGAACATGTGGCAAAGCTCAAGTCATCAGAGGGTTCGCCTTAGGAGAATACACTGCCCGACACATTACCCAGGGCACGACGTTGGGACGATGAATATCCGGTCAGTAAATGAATCTCTATACGCCGGTCCGTTGGTCCAGAAGATTGCGGTGGCAGCATCTCCTGCTGGCATGGCCAGAATGCGGAGTAGATGGGAAGGGGGCTGTTTGATTGCAAAATTACACAGTCCGTTCGGAAGCTAAACTTTCAGCTCCGTAAGGTGCTCTAGAAGCTGGAATTGAAATCTGAATACCTAGAGACCACGAAAGGATCATTTCTCACTCTTCGTTGTGTCGCAGACTGGCCAAAGACACGGATAGGAATTCATGTGAATCTGGTGTCAGTTGGGATTCTCTTTTCCGAAGACTGCTGTGAAAAATGAAGAACTGAAGACTGGAGTACGCCAAACTCTGTAAAGGCCATTCTTATATATATATATACACACACTCCAGACAGTGGAGGATATCCGATGTAATTACAGCACAGTGTTTGATAACCATGCATGATTTACTGGGTTTATTGGCAGGTTTCTGGTGCTGACAATTTAGAGACGTTTTTCACACCTTATTAGATATATAATGAGCGAGTAGGAGAGGATAAAACGGCACTTAATAAATCAGAGGGCGCATAAGTAATCCTCTAAGTTGGGGGTTGGACGCAAGGCTGACGACCTTGATCCTTGAAAAATTTATTGCGAAATCCAACGAAGTGAGGGCTGGATAATCTGATTTCCATGAATGGAGAGCCATGGTAGAAGCTTCTAAGGAAAACTGTGGTTTTGTGAATGATGATGATTATTTGGGCTCTCACGGTGGTTAATTATTGGAGTTTATTCCGTTTTGCGGTTGTTACGCGTAAAGATTTAGACAGCTCATACCTGCGAAACGTAAGCTCTATCTCTCATATTAGATTAGTGTAACAACAGAAGAACTGAATTAGCGTCAAGGATTAACACTTAAACAATATCGTCAAGTTGTTTTCGAGAAATCTTACGTTCTATCTTTGAGCAGAAAGAGACCATAATATTGATAATCTGAAGACACTACTATGCAGGTTTATTTTGTCAAGTGGTCTCTATCAATCACTGAAATATAATCAGGCTCCTTAGAGTTATTTTGAAGAACATCGCAACTTTGTTTCCTGCGGTTCCTTTGAAGGACTTTTGTTTTTTCGGCTAGGATTCCTGGCGCCACCAGATTCTCTGAGAAGTAGTGGGTCTGGAACGGGGTCCACTCAGCCTCGTGATGATAATTGAGGAGCTATTTCAAGGAAATAACGTCTCCGGTCTAGAAAATCGACATTAACGGCCCTGGGGAACCTTTGCGCTGACCACGTGACACCCTGTATCCGCAAAGTTGGCACTAACTTCGCCGACAAGCGGCTGTTGCTCGGTCGGTATAGTTCGCTTGCAGACAACAGGCCATGGAGTTTATTTGTTGTTTTTTATGTTCATGTCAAAGAGAATCGACTTGTGATGGATAAATTCTTAAATGCCAAATATGAATAAAGTTCGTCAAGCATTTCTGGCGTTAACGAGGTGAGCATACTTATTGACAGACAGCATCATGGAAACCGCTTTTCGTATTCTGTGGTGCTAAAAACGCGTAAATCCATAAAGATTCCCTAATCGATTTCTTCACCATAGCAACAATTTCTTTTACATGAGGAAAGTATAAATTGAAGTGAAATGTCTCTCACTACAGTGGCAACTTAAACCTGAAGACGTGACCAGGACCAACTGTAGAAATGTAGTGTAAATTAAATATTCCTTAGACAATAGAAGTCAAAATAATATTTCATAAGGATAAATAATTATTATTTTCTATGTCGGATTGTTTTAACGGCTTGCTGTAACTTAACCATTCAGCTATGCATTAGAAACTTGCTTCCTGTGAAATTTGTGGCTACACAAATATAAAAGTATTATGACGTACCATTCGTTGGCCACAATAATGGCTCTTGACTTCTTTATTCTGTTGAGACCGCAGAGAGTGATGGCCGGAAACTCTATGTTCCAGACAGGGTAGTGGGCTGTGTTCAAAGCGATGAGGGTCGAGTTCATGTCCTTCCTTCCCCACGCAGCACACAGCATGACGATAGACGCAGCCAGACCTACCAGCACCACGACGACCCACAGGATCCTGTGCGAGACATGGGCACATTGCGCTCAGTGACTCGGAAAGCTGTGTTTACATGCATTTGAATCAACAATTACCATACACAAAACGGTTACGTTACCCACTGTTTTAGTAGAATATCATCTGTTACTGTAAATACACGCATACCTTTGAGTTATGATTTTCGAAAGTAAAATTCTAAAGATAAAAATTTCTGCCTAACAGACTGAGCTGGGTAGCACAGCTCTTATAAGTTGCATTCTAAAAGCGACTTCAAATGTGATTAGAGAACAGGCTGTCCTGTCTGAATCTGTTTTTCTTCAGCCATTACAAGGTTATTCCTTCAAAGAGTACAGAATATGTCCTTCACAATACCTTCCACTTCAGTATACATAGTAACATCTCATTGAAAGAAAAATTGCCTCTCTAGTTGAAAATTCGTTATTAGTCACTGAACAACCAACTTTATGTAATGCACTCAGCAGGTTACTGTAAATGAATCTCTCTGGATATGTATTCTGAAAGTATCTGCTTCTAATTACAGTGTATTTACATTTCATGGCTTTTCTATGTCGCTCTATACCATACCTCTGAATAGCGCCAACTGTCTCCCAAATTTTTTATATTCTCGTCATTATAAGGGGTACTGTATTAGGGAGATACACGCAGATTCACGTACACGCTTATGAAGAACCCGTCTGAAATATCTCAATATCTTAAGCAGACAACCTTACCGGAGATTTTCGGTATGGTGATTTTGTGTCCTATATTATGTTAAAAATCTAGTGTGAGTTCCCTTTTTTGCCCTATAACGTCGGATAGTCCGTCGAAAGTCGATTGACTATGGAGCATTATATCGGAGAAGATAGAAATCTTCTTAACCACGACTGAGAACCTCAAGTGTTACATAATTTAACCGCCCACCTTTTTTTAGGCTTCTTGCCCATAAGGTGGTTGCCACTTGTCACTTTGGCTGCCCTACCTGGCGCTGCCTCCGTTGAAGTTGTTAGGGCGTGGCTGGTTCCGGCTTGACCAGGCTCCACCGCTTCCTCCTTCCGTTGATGATTACGGGGGGGGTTGGAATTTCAGCATAGAACCTGATATTATGGGCGCCAGCAAACAGCTAGGTGCTGTTTGCGATTCATTTTAAAGGAGGGAAGGCGTGAGTGGGTGGAAGCTGGCGATGGGTTCGACTAGCTCCTGGCGATGGGTCTCTACTCATGTCGGCTAAGGGTCAGGCTCGGACAAGTGAGGGTGAAGCACTTCTGACCAACACAATGCACTTTGCCACTGGAACACTTTATTGTTTCTCACAGTCACTCGGAGTCTAAATCTACACTATCAGGCCTAGTCTCGGCTTCCAAGCCGCCGGTGTTGCACCTGCTCAAATCACTTATCTTAACGCGCAAGTATATTCGCGGGTTTTGCCTCCGCCGAGTTCGAAGTTTTGTCGCAGACTCTTTTTCTTAAACTGGACTCTCTGCCGAGCCAGAGGTCCTAACTGAATTGTATCCGCCTCTTCTCTCCTCCTGCTAAATTCCCGGATAGGTTGATTCAAATAAGAGGAGTTGGCTTAATTTTGGTTCCGGCCAGTGACCGATTGTTTTAGAAGCAGTTTCGGCTTAAAATCCCAAACGGCGAATTTGACAGAGATGTAACTTATGAGGGGTCGCTAATGAACTCCTGGCCCTCCCACTGTTGACTTATGACGGGTTGCGACTGTCACGTCTCGAATTCTCAAAGTGGCTCGCCGCCCCAAGTCAACTTCTCCATTTCTAAAGAAACTCGGTGCGGGTTCCTTGAAGTATCATTTCTGCCCTTTTCAAAACAACACCAAATGCTTGGAAGCAAGAACTAACAGATGTCCTTGTCCGCGCAAGTTCGGTCTATCTGCTTGTTCTGACTGTGTCTTAACCTATGCTTCTTAGTAATTCTTACTGTCTACTTTATAACTACTGAAATAAAAAAGGGGGGGGGAAGGATTTCAATGGTTCGGTTACAATAAGGTACAAGACATGTCAATAAAGTTTCAGGACTGGTATGAAAAACGAAATAAACGAAAATAAGGAGTGCGTTATTTATATTCAAACCAATCTCCGCCAACTTGAAACAATTATTGATTAATTTAAAAAGTATTTGAAAATATTCAACAAAGGCATCCAAATGAAAAGCGTTTAGTTCTCTCGTTACGTTTTTGTTAATGTTCTCAACGTCCAGAAACCTCTTTCTTCGAGGACAATTTTCGTCTTAGGAAAGAGAAAAATGCAATAAAGAAAAGTGGGATTTTCTTGACAAGTCTGGATGAAACCTTGGCATGATGCGAATCTCCGTCTGTGAGTCTGTGTGAAAACTTTGCGCAAATCGTCCTCCCCCTGAATCTTCATGGCAGATTAACGAATTTCCTGCTTATTGATGTTTGCGATTGTATCTGCCTTTCGAGATGTTGAAGGAGGGCTCTCCTCTGACCATCCTGAAGACTGTCACGCCCGTTTTTAATCGTTTAAAATGTTCAAATACAATTAAAAATTAGAATGTTTTATCTGCTGGAAAATTTTAATAGCTGTCTTGCCAGTCTTGAAACAAAACTTAATGTTTGCGCTTTGCTCCATCACTACAAACCGTCACAACGATCTGCACGGTACAAAATCTTAAACACGCAGAGATATTGGGTTTTCAGACTTTATCCATCGTCCTGGTTTTTAAGATAACTAAGAAAAACACGACGTTTCGGAAACTGGATCTGTTTCCTTCCTCAGGTAAGGGGAAACACCTATTCTGTTGGGTCCCTTAGAAAGAGCTAACCTCAATCACTGGACGTCGTGTTTTTCTTAGTTATCTTAAAAACCAGGACGATGGATAAAGTCCGAAAACCCAATATCTCTGTGTGTTATACACACTCGTCAGAATCCTATAGTATCTAATCTTAAACACGACTGAGCATGAACGGCATGAGAGAAGTGACTGGCCTTGTACAGAGAACTCGATGGATGATCTAGCTTATATAACTTGAAACATGTTTCTATGTGCTTTTAAAGGAATATGCTTCACCCAGTCCAGAAATTTATGAAACCTCGTAGTAGTGTTTTAATAAAGATGTAACGGTATTCGTCAATATATGAAAACTGAACATCAAATGTAGTTTGAACACAGTATCAGCCCACCTGTATGATGTTACCATAAATCTAGTTACTGTACCTGGGCTGCAGAACGAAGCTCGAAGAACATCTCTCCCTATCAGTTGGCATTACATACAAGAAATTTCTGAAGTGGAATAATTTCAAAGTAAAAGTATATCTATACTACGTACATGACTAAGTCCACTGAAAATATTCCCTTCCTCACGTGAATCTCAACAGTTTAATATCTTCAGTAACTTTTCCCTCTGTTCAGTGAATCCAGTCCACATAGAGACTAAAGGACTGAACTGAAGTAAGGACATATCCTTCAGTCTGAAGCTGTACGCTATGAAATAAAGAGTACCTAAACAAAGCGAACCGAATGTTACATATTTCTTTTTGATGCATATGGAATAGGTTGTAAACGGTTCTCTGACAGCAGAAACGTAAATAGAGATTAAGCATGATATTGTCACGTATACGGGGTTGCGTGACGAATAGAAAATGGTGCTGGATTTGATGATTGGTTTATTGGCCCTTCTTTACGATTACAGTTAATTATAACAGCTCATGCATTGAACTCCTTACTTCTCTTACGGATGAATTACGACTTTCTGTCTCACGTATGTCCTATGAAAAACCTGTGAAGAATTTCTGACTGCTTTGAATTCACAAATGAACTCCTTTCATGACTGCCACGCGGCCCGAATATAAGTCACCACATCGAAAAGTTAATTGTCTTCTCTCATTCTTTTTGTTGTCACGGGAAACTTGTGTTTAGCAGCTTGCTACTTGGCAACGACACATTAGTTGCTATGTGTTGTATCGGGAACTTGATTTCCGAGCCGTTGCTGATTTTCGACTGGAACTTGAAAATGTGAATTTATGGCCCCTTCCGCCAGTGCACATTTCGAGGTCTACTCGTCCTGAAACTCGTCGTTTCTAGACAATTCTTCGATTTCGGGAGAGGTTTGATATGCACAAAAGTGGGGATTTGCCTGTCAGTATCGGAGTTAATTCTGATGCGATCTCGCACTACACGTCTGCACACCTCTCAGCAACTGACAATAGACAACAGCCCATCAATGCGTTGGTATATTAATGGAATCACCAGCTGGCTGCAGCCAGTTTCAAGGGTCTCAGTACTATTGCTAATACGTTTAGTGCATCTCCAATTGCATTTGAATAATGGAAGTGGCCTGCAGGAAGCAGATACACGAATCCGTATTGATTCTGCCCTTCCGTATTATTTGTATGGAAAAAACAATTCACGAGAACAGAATAGCACATTCACTTCAAGCTATACACACTTCAATAAAATACACTGCTCCTGTAAAACCTATTTTAATATCATATTTACATCGGGGTATCGCTTCAGATTTTTGATTAAATATATCATATAAATTCTTCTTATTTATTTAAGCATCATAATAATATTAGTTGAGAGGCAAATTATGGAATTAGATATTATATAAGTTCCTCCATTCTCCCATTATATTTATTTCTGTGACCATAAAATTCTTCTGCTTACTTTTCTGACATAGTTTTTTATGACACTGCTTAATAATTCACGATATAAACACACTATTATCACACGAACTATGAAAATAAATTACACGAAATATATCCTATTATTTACTTCCATTATGTAGTGAAATATGACTTACCTTTCCAATATCTGTTGGCCTGGAAGCGCGATGAATTTGTATCCATGTTGACCAGTTGCCAGACAGTATTCCCTGACCCTTTTCACTACTTGAAATTCCGTTTTTTGTGGTTTCATAATATTTTAATATGGTTCAGAAGAGCTAATTTAACCTCTGAATGTAGAGGAATTATGAAAATATAGAGATAATAAACTGTAAATTACTGTGAAGATAATTAATTCTATTCTATATGAACCAGGTAGTTTTTGCGTTCATTTACTTTCATGTATAACGCGAGTTCCGCCATATTATATAGCAGCAAACAATTTTATCTTCTCTTATTAACGTCGCCCTGGTACCATCATGCGCTTGGAATTAATCAGTTCCTTCTCGTGTTGTCTGAATGGAGTAGAGCACTTGCAAGTTAAATTCTGCGGTAATATAATTATAACAATTTCAATTCTACATGTACAATTCTGGTTAGAATTTCTGATAGAGTATTGTTATATTCGAGATCTCGAGAAATTATCGAACTATTCTACTATAACTTTAGTCTGAATAAACATTAATTACGGCTTGAAGTCATTTATGATACATATCTTTGTCAATAAACGCTACAGGATTCTAAACTATGTATGATGAAATGTTATGTAGCTTATTAAACACACGATATGCATAACTGCTGTTTCTAGAAGAAACGAATATGTAAGTATGTCCTGAGATGAGGGAATTTCGCTTACAGCCAATGAAGCCGTAGTTTCACATCATGTATCTTCACAAACATTTTGTTTAAAATAACTAAAATATTTGAATATTATGTCGCCTGTGAATTATATTTTATTGACAGGCGTTCATTAAACACACTCTGCGTTTTATATTAGTAGAAACAGCACAGTTAACAACACCGTTACCGAACTACATTCACTTTTGCGTGAAACTCTACTTTAATCTGTTAAATTATACCAGCCCAGTGTAGTGTTAACCTTCCTCCGTGGGTTTCAGTTTGCGTTGCTCTGAGCTGATAATAAATCGGGAAGAGTGAACATGTGGCTTGCATTCTTTCAGTGTGACAAGCGCTGGTTACTGCCGGTTTCGCTGTGTCTTACCGCCCGAGTCCGGACTCAGCTCGCTTCTGTTGCAGGATTGATCGCTTGCCTGAGTTGTATACAGTTATAGCGTACGTATGCGAGGGCAGAGCGTGCTAGCTGTTTGGCCAGTGTTGAGCAGTTTTAATAACCGATGACAGAGGAACACTCATTTTCACTTATAAACATGTCCTTTTCAGCCTTCTTTTATTTACTTTTTTCTTTAATTAAGTTTTAATTTACGTAGGGCCAAACTTTTTTACACCTAGTTGCTGCGGTGTACTGTATTAAATTAATTTGCGTGTAAATTTATTCGTTTTTATGTATCTGTTTCATTAAGTTCTAATTTACATACGACCAGATCCCCATAACACCAGGATGTTGCTGTATTATGTTCTTAAACTAATTTGCGTAAAATAATTTACATTTTAATTTACTAAAGTTACGTAACTAATTATCACAGTATCTTTTTAAGGATCCTAATCTTATCAGTTTTCATTCTTCCTCCCTTTATTTCTCCTCCAACATTTAATTTTAAATATTTTTTCCTTGCTTCATTAATGTAATATCTGTTGTTGTTAATTTAACTTCATTCATTCTAATCCGTCACACTATTCAGTACTATAGAAAGATTTCATTACACCGTCCAGTGTGACTCAAAAAGTATATATATCTCAGGTAATGCTTGGTACCATTCAGTTCGGAGCCTTTTGTCTTCTCGTCTGTTGTCCAAAAACATAAAAATTAGAATATACAAAACTATAATTTTGCCGGTCATTCTGTATGGGTGTGAAACTTGGTTTCTGACATTAGGGGAGACATACAAACTCAGGGTTTTTGAGAACAGGGTGTTGAGAATATTTGGACCGAAGAGAGATGAAGTGACAGGAGGTTGGAGAAAACTGCACAGTGAGGTACTTCATAACTTGCACCATTCTCCAAGTATAATTAGAATGATCAAGTCAAGGAGGATGAGGTGGGCAGGTCATGTAGCACGAATGGGGGTGACGAGGAATGCGTATAGGATATTTGTGGGAAAGCCAGAAGGAAAGAGACCACAGGGAAGACCAAGGCATAGGTGGGTGGACAATATTAGAAAGGGTCTTATAGAGAGAGGAGAGGAGGGGATGATATGGATTGGATTGATCTGGCTCAGGATAGGGATCAGTGCAGGGCTCTTCTGAACACGGCGATGAACCTTCGGGTTCCATAAAATGGTGGAAAATTCTTGAGTAGCTGCAGAATTGGTGGCTCCTCCAGAAGGGCTCATCTCCATGAGTAAGTAAGTAAGTAAGTAAGTTGGCTTTACATGTTTCGATCAATTAATGACGATCTTCATAAGGCAAGTGTTGTTATTTTACTTTCTAAAGATGGTCCTTGATTGACCGAAACACATAAAAGCAACGTATATATACTTTTGAGACACACTGGAAGGCGTAATAAAATCATTCTATAGTCTGTTACTGTCTGTAATCCTGACAAGGGCACTAAATTTTTCTCTTGTCCAGGGCCTCCAGGCAGGCTCTGAGGCTCACCCGATCTCCTATAAGTACAATGGGTACTGGGAAATGTTTCACCTGCGGCGAAGCGGCCGGGGCGTGAAGCTGACCACTCCGTTTCATATAGTGCGCAGATCAAGAATAGTAGAACTGTAGTTCACCTCCCACGTCCATCTTAAAGGCTTTGTACTTAATTAATTAAACACAGCAACAGCTTTACCTTTACTTTCTCATTCCGAAATAATTTAATACAATATGCACCTGAACTTTCTCTTCTTGATGCACGGCACATCTACCTTCTTTTCTTCCTCCCCTCGAATTGCCCGGATCTCCAGTTTCCACAGTGCTTCAAGGGTACTTCTTTCTTTCCTTTTGCAAAAATGGCAAATTCGGGATTACTTGGTTTTTGTACTTTGTCTATCGTCCGGTATTCTAAAATACTAGAGAAAACTCGAGAGCATTTTACAATACAAGACGATGTACAAAGTCCAAAAACCCAGAAATTCCGGGTGTTATATACACCATCTTCAGAACCCTTTAGAATGCAAAGAGTATGTTATTCTCTCCGTCATGTGGATTTCATGTCACGATAGAGGACCGGTGCCGTCTGTTTATGCTGATTTAAGCTCTTTTGATTCTTCTTCAGCGAAACAATGAAATGTCTCGCCATTGCCGATCTTCAGGCACGGATTCAAATTCAGACCTTTAGAATATGGAAAAGAAGTGCTAACTTCCTGATCGTTACTTTGGATTTTTGTTTCCTTGCCCAATTTCTTTTCCAACTAATGACTTTACAGCTAGTTCAGCTCTACTGGTTGTTTATGATTCTAAACAAACCAAAACGACAATTAAAACTGAACTCTAATTAAATTAAATGTTGTTAATAAAATTTACTTTATGCCAGTAGTAATAGTTACATTGCCATTACTCGGTCGTCAGAGACTCAGTTTTATTGACGGACTGTGCTACGTGAAGCTCTGCTTGACATTTAGATAGGAGAGACTTTGCCATGGGCATCATGGCCCTTGCACCGTCCGCAAGTCTAATGTTTTTAGGTAAACCTACAATTTCAGAAAGTAGCACAGCCTACATAAGCTCTTATCGATGGTAGGTAATTAAAAAATGCTTACTGTATGTGAGAGTTGGAATTATTCCGGCTGTAACTATGAAAACTACTATCGTGTGGAATGTGACATTGTGTACGTGTAGTCTAGCAAACGTTTGCCCACGTTTCGTATGAACCTTTAGAGTAGAAGAATTTATAGAAAGTTTTCTACACTGAATTAAAGGTAAGCTTTTATCAGAATGTCAATAAACTTGCAGTTTAATAGGAGTTCACTGAAGTTTCTAAGGAACTTGCTGCCTTCCTCTTCAGGGTAGAGTAGCATGAAGAGGATCTTATACATTAAGGACGGAAGCAGTACACTTCGTCGAAACGTCTGCAGACAGCACCAAAAACAAAGAGTGAACCCCAAGAACGCAGTGTTCTTAGTAATTGCTATTGATTTTTATACCAGGTTTCATTAACATTCGTACATTTATTTCATAACTCATTATAAATGCACACACACTCTCACAGCCGACGTTACCATCAATCTGAAGAGAAGCAGTAACTTGGGAGTCTCTCCTCTCTCTTTCTCCTCCTCCTCCTCCTCCTTATATTCCTGTTGCTCCCACTTGGAGCATAGGGCATCCATGAAACGCTTCGTTTCACTTCAGTTTCTTGTTCTTACACAGTCGGTAGGACTCCTCTGACGGGGATCAGCCCGTCGCAAGACCGCTACCTAATACAATTACAGAATAAACAGAAACAGACATCATGCCTTGAGTGGGATTAGAACCCACGACCCCAGTGTTCGAGTTGGCGAAGATATTTTATACCTTAAGCCGCGCAGTCACTGTGATCGGCAACTTGGGTGTAGCCGACTGTAAGTTCCTTGCTCAAAGATAGAAATAAAGAGACAAAAGATATCAGAAGAGAAGAAAAAGAGAGACAAAACGAAGCAGAACGAAGAGCATAATCGAAGAAACGGGAAAGAAAACTTTTAATATCACTTCAGGTGTTGTGTTCTTGATTTACGAATTGGTCCTGCAAGCGAGTGACTGTCTGGTACTTTCTAGAAGAAGCCGCCTGTTTCACACCGCACCGGGACGCGCTTACTCGTCTTGCTGCGCCTCATTAACCGCGTGAAATACAACTCTTTTCTCTTGGTCCATTCTCACTAGGAGAAGGTAGAATTAAATAGGAGGACAACATAATTATAAATCAATAAATCTAATCACGCGGATCTCAGAGATTAAACCGACTGCAGCTGAAATGGAAGTAACTGGATAAGATAAATTTTCGGCGTAATGTTATAAGATTGTAACTAAACTTAGTCCTATAGAAGAATACGAAGTTTTAATTGATCTAGTTTCAGACACGAATTTCACTGTTTCCGGAAATAAATATCCTGACTTTCTGCACCGGGGTAACAGGTTACAAACAATTGCTTCATTGCGAACTAGATTGAAACTTTTGTCTTCCGTAGTCACTGATTGAATTTCATTTGT